ACTGCAGGGGGCACCAAGCCTAATCTGGCTGACCTTGCCGTGTTTGGAGTATTGAGACCCATTCGTTATCTGAGATCGGGTAAAGATATGGTTGAACACACACGGATTGGTGAATGGTACACACGAATGGAGAATGTTGTTGGTGAATCTTCAAGGATACAAACCTAATTTTCGTGTTGCATTCATCTAGAAGGCCAAGTGATATGCAAGAAGCAAAGTATATATGCATTTTGCCTTCCGTCTTGACTAAGTCGTGTTGAAAATCTTAAAATTGATTTTGTTGCTATGAATTCGTAGCATGATACGAATTGTATTGCGATTCCTTTGCTGTACAAGATGATGACTAAGGCCACATGTAGGTCGGGATAGAGCAATAATAGAATACCAACCGGGGGTGAGAGGATACCTCAAAACTATGTAGCTTGTGATTGAATGAGTAGTACCAGATTGGCTATATTTCTGGATAGTCTTCGTGGTGCACCCGTTTTTTGTCTCTTTAGAATGGGAAATGTCGAATAAGAGAACTTTGATCCATTGGGGTGGAGGTAGAAACCTTTATGTCGCACTTGTTTTTGCTATTGCATTCTAGGGCTTGTTTGGTTTGTTTTTTTACAAGCCCTGTATTGGATGAAATCGTTTGTGTAGGTTGTGAAGGTATTTCATAGATGGAGGGAGGTATGCTTTTTTAATTGGGAAGGGTAGCTTGGAAAAATTCAGCTTTTTGCATAAAACTCTTCCGTAGAAGCTTACTGAAAGAAAACACTATCTGTATAATTAAGTCACTATCAAACAATCATGTATGATTTGACTGTATCACTTGTGAGTTCCATTAAACTTGTTAAACTTCCCTAAGTGTATCTTGGCTCACAAAATAGATGCTTTTGTTGACTAAATTTGAAGCACTTTTGTTAAATAGGCTTGCATCTAACAAAAAGATCAAACATACCGAACGTATCTATTGGTACTTTGTTGTATTTGTAAAGGTTCAACAGTTGTTATTTATTTGAACGTGATTATAAGTTGGTTATCGATCAGTTTTATAGAGTTAAATATATGGACCTTATGAAATAGGTATTCAGTAATCAGTTATGAACTTAAATTGTAAGAGATTTTGGAAACATGTGATCAATGCTTTATAACATGATATTTAGATCGATAATGTTTGATTATGTTTTTTTTTTCTTGAAAATATTGTTAATCGAATAATTAATTGTTTGAGTTTTGATAAATTTTAATTATTTATGGAACTAATATATAAATAATCAAAAAGACACGATATTATAAAATGAAAGATGGTCCCTCAAATATGTAAAAAGAGAAGGTAAATCAGAAATTTTTACTAGTGAGTGTGTTTTCTGGTTCTTTTGTTTTCATCCCTATAATTCATTTTATAACAAAACACTTAAGTTCACATTTTTATTTTGGTTCTCGTCACTGTTGCTTACTCTGCCAATCATTTACTGTTAGTTGGAGTCATGTGTTTCTCATATGAGACATTCTAGTCATTTTATATGTAAATATGATGTGACATCTTTAGAAGAAAAAACTCGAATTCYTCTMTSCTYTTTTTCATGTTTGAAAGATCATTGGCTCTTGTTGGTATTTGCTTCTTTACTAATCCAATTTAAAACCGTTTCCATCGATCTCTCGTATGTTGTTCCTACGTTCATATTCATTTTCATATATCTGAATTCTTGAACGTAGCAACCCCTAAAACACAACAAGACCCCTAAAGACTAGATCAAACAATCAAAGGAAACAATCTTTATCATAGTCCAACGTCGTTAACTACATAAAAGTTCATGTATTTTGTTGGTATTCGTATGAATTCATCATGATTGAAGAATAGTTACTCGTGTGTCGTTTTTCTTAATTCCACCAATGCCCCTTGTTGAACACGAGCACATCCATGCCTTTCCATTTTATAGAGCTCCAATCAATCTTTCCAGCATCAGATACAAGGCTTTATGATACTCGGTTGTACAGTTGAAATTGATGAATCTATACACCAAGTACCCCATACTTGGTGTATAAATTCATCAAGTTCAACCACAATCAGCTATCATAAAACCTTGTATCTAATGCTGAACAGATGGATTGGAGCTCTAGAAAATGGAAGGCATTGATGTGCTCGTGTTCAACAAGGGGCATCAGTGGAATTATGAAAAAAACGACACACGAGTAACTATTCTTCAATCATGGTGAATTCATATGAATAACAACGATATACATGAACTTTTATGTAGTTAACAACGTTGGACTATGATAAAGATTGTTTTCTTTGATTGTTTGTTTTAATCTTTAGGGGTCTTGTTGTTTTTCAGGGGTTCACTTTCAAGTTCTGGAGATATGAAAATGAATATGAACGTAGGAACAACATACAAGAGATCGATGGAAAAGGTTTTAAATTGGATTAGTAAATAAGCAAATACCGTCAAGAGCCAATGATCTTTCAAACATGAAAAAGATGAGAGAGGAATTCGAGTTTTTTTCTTCTTAAGATGTCACGTCATATTTACATATAAAATGACTAGAATGTCTCGTATTAGAAACATAGATGTCACGTCATATTTACATATAAAATGACTAGAATGTCTCGTATTAGAAACATATGACTCCAACTAACAGTAAATGATTGGCAGAGTAAGCAACAGGGACGAAAGCTAAAATGAAAATGTTACCTCAAGTGTTGTTTAGTCAACAAAAGCATCTATTTTGTGAGGCAAGATACACTTAGGCCAGTTTAACAAGTTTAATGGGACTCACAAGTGATACAGTCAACCATGCATGGCTATTTGGTAGTTGCTTAATTATGTAGATAGTGTCTTATTTCAGTAAGCTTATACGGAAGAGTTTTATGCAGAAAACTGAATTTTTCCAAGCTACCCTTCCCAATTAAAAAGCAGACCTCCTTCCATCTATGAAA